CCTTAAAAATAAATTTCAAAAAAGGGGTTTTTGAGGAAAAGTTGAAAGTATCAATTTCCCTTGAAAATCAAAATTTTCAAAAAATGTTTTTAAGGAAAAGTTGAAAGTATCAATTTTTCTTAAAAATAAATTTTCAAAAAGATTTTTGGGGAAAAGTTGAAAGTATCAATTTTTCCTACACAAGAACAATCATTCTTTCCTTCCTTTTTATTTTGATTTTGATTTTGATTTTTTCTTTAACCAATCCGACGACGGAGCCTCTGCAAGTAAAACATTAGTTTTTCTTGCATACTCTTGAGGTGAGGGGATTTTCTCAATTTTTTGCTAAAAGTATTAGAGTCAATTGAGAATAATTTCCAATAATTAATTACTTGGTAAATTTTAAGGCTTTTTGGATAACATGAATTTAAGCTGGTACCATCTTTTGATGGGCGTTGTGAGGGTGCTATAACCTTCCTCACACGTAACCGAACTCCCGAACTCCGTTCTGGTTAGCAGACCTGAACCTAGTCTTTTAAGGACCCTTAAGCTTAGGTGTTCCCTAAAATGATAGATTCTTTAGGTGGTCAATCGCACCTAGATAAAAAATATTGGTAACGACTCCTTTAAGTAAATGTCTAGCGATAGATCCTCGGATCTAGACGTTATGACAAATACTACCAAAGAAATGGAATATTTAGGAAAATATTCAATATAAAAAATTTTCATTCTTTTACCTACCTAAAAATATTTTTTAGTTAGGTGATTTAAAAAAAAAAAAGAAAGAGGAGGAATAGGGCATAATGAAAAGGAAAAGTATTTTTCTTAACTAAATTAATATAACAATACATGAGTGTTATTAGCTATTTTTATTAAAAATTTTGTTAATCATTAACAATAATAATAAAAGTTAAAAAGTTTTAGGATAAAAATAATAAATAATTAGATAAGAAAGGAAAAAGTAAATGAAATCTTTGAGAATTAGATTCTAAGAAAGTTAGAGAAGAGATTCTTAAGAAATTCTTATATGAGAAAATTTTTCTAAAAATATCATCAAAGTATCAAAGTATCTAGAAAAATTTTCAATAAAAAAATTTTCTTTAATTTGTTCCTTTTTTGCAAATTGCTAAGACTTGTGAGGTAATTAAGGAGATTAAAACAAAACTAAAATGAATAACATAAAATATAACATAAAAAAATAATAATAAGTAAAATATTTTTTGCGTGCTTATTCTGCTTTATTGTTTCACATTACATGATCATAAGTGTAAATGAAAATTTTCGATGATGAGAATCTGAAAAGTTTGAGTAATGATTCCTGAAAATTCCTTGGATGAGAAAAGTCTTCTAAAATTTACCAAAGTATTGAATATTTAGAAATTTCTTTTCAATATGAAAATTTTCATTTTTATTTTCAATTTGAGTAATTTTTTTATAATATAAAAATATATATCTTTTAAAAATAAATTATAGATAATTATATTATTACATGATTTTTAAATATTAAAACAAATGAAAAATCTCCGAAGATGAGATTCAAAAGAAATCTAAGTAGTAATTTTTTAGGAATCTCTAAGTAAAAAAATTTATCTAAAATGTCACTAATATATTGGAACATTTAGATTAATTTTTTACAAAGATTTCTTTTTTTTTTTATAAATAGCACAAAAATGAATTTTTAGAAAATATTATTTGATTTTAAATTATAGATACTTTACATTTTTTAAATATAAATATTGAAAATAAATATGACACTGAGGATAGAATTTTTGAGAATTTCGAGTAGCGATTATTAAAGATTTCTTAGGTGAGATGGTCTTTTTTAATATTACTAGAGAATTGAAATATTTTGTAAAAATTTTTCAATATGTAAGGTTCTTATTTTTTTTTCAAACGTACTATTAATATAAATATATTTTTTAAATAAAATTAAGAAAATTAAATTTTAAATATCAAAATTAAGATTATTTTGTTAAAATTAAAAAATAATATATAATTAATTGGTATCGTTATTAACGGATACTGTAGAGATGTTAATCTTTTTCACATGTAATCAATTTTTGAGCTCAAACTGTTTTACAAATTCAAAAATTATTTTTTTGATAAAATTTAATTAATTTTAAAATTTTTATTAAAAAAATATGTTTTAATCAGTGATTAATCAAAATAAAAATGTTCACTGTTGCGTTACAATAAAAATACCAATACAAAAGGGAAGAAGAGTTTGTAGTAGACTTCGACTGCCTTATTGTAGCCTATTCTAAGAAAGTGCATTTAAAAAAAAAAAAGGAAAGGAAACAAAACAAAAGACTATGAGAGAGATTAAGTTAAGGATGAGGCGGCTGGTCTTCTGCTTACACGCAAAAAAATTACCTATTTTAGTAAATAAGAATAAAAGTATTCTTATTAGGGAATTAAGATTTCTTAATACCTTAGTTTGGGAAAAAGCTTCCACATTAAAATCTCTGTGTAATGGCTAGCTGTTGCAATTGAAATCCACGACTAATCACTGAAAAACATTAATAAGCATCCAAGTTTTTTCAAGCACTAGGTGAGGATCTCTCACAGCATTTTTGTTTAATTTTCAAACACAGCATAATAATTACGATAACATAGGATTTTGTTGGTTATCTTATTTTTAACAAATTATTTTTATTGAATGAATTATAAATTATAAATAATATTATATTAAAAAATATATAAAAAATTAATAAAATTTATTTATGTGGATGTTTAGATGAATTTTTTCCGACAAGTAAAAAAATCCTTAAATTTTCTCTTTGTAATAATATGTAAAATATTTTTTAATTTGAAATTATTTATAAAAAATATATATTTAAATAATAATAATACATGTAAATGATATAATTATATAAATTTTAAAATTCAAAATTTAATATTTTATTTTATTTTATTTGAAATGTTAGCATTTCCTTAATTTTTTTTCACTATCCACACACGTAGTAATCTCACAAAGATTATTCTTTTTTAAATTGAAATAAAAAATGATTGCAATATTTCATTCAAGAAAAATCCATGCTAAATTTCTATTATAGATATTACAGCCATTTTTATGTATCTTTTTCTCCAATGGAAAACAGGACAAAGCTTCTGCTCTTTCTTCAATATTTTCTGATCCTTTACTTCCTCTCTTCTGAGACCTATCTCTCGATTGAAATGAAAACCATTTGTGCAGGCCAATCACTTCTGGTAATCAAAACTATTTTCGCAAAAAACTTAATCATTGAACTCCATGAACTCCACTGTTGCAGTTCTTGAGAATAGTGGAAACCTTGTTTTGAGAAATAATTCAAACCCTTCAGTCATGGTAAATCAAAGCTTTGATCAAGCTACAGATACTTGGTTGTCTGGTGCCAAGCCAGGAACAGTCAAGATGACCGGGAAAAGGCAAATTATTGATCAAATACAAACAAAACTCATTTATTGAATGATAGTATTTCTCTCTATTTTCCACTTGTCTTTTTCCCTGTCTAATTTATCTTCCAGTCAATCACATCAAGTATCTACTGATATTTTGTATTTATACGACAATAATCTACTCCTATAACCTTTTTTATTTTCGTATTTTCCACTGTTGACGGGACATCTTTTGGTGGAGGTCACTTTCGGTGCGGAACTAATTGTTTCACTCACCAAACAAGAGTTAGCTGGATCCATGACAAATTGGACCGTTGTTGACTAGCCACAGTTGTTTCCCTAGAAATAAAGTGTAAGACCCGTAACCAACACTGGTCTACTAACTCAAACAGCTCAAGCAGAAATACTAAAAATTGTTCTTGTTTCTATTGTTCCTTGGAGTTTCATATCTACTTTCCTCAAAGGAAACATTTCTGGTGGTGGTGGTGGGAAGAGCCCCATCAGTCCTCGCAGCTTTGTTCGATCTTGATTTTTAATTTTAAAGGGATCAAAATAATATTTTAAAATAAATTTATAAAAAATATATGACATTTATTAATAATTAAAAATAAATGCAAACATATAATAACAAAATTTACAATTATAAATATATTAATATGTAAATATATAAAATAAAATAAATATATTAAGCAATTTATCCCATAATTTTTAATTATAAATCACTAATAATATTTTTTTATAAAAATAAAATCATTATTTTTTTACAATATTAATACATTATTTTATCATATTTAATATTTAAATTATTAAAGTGAAAAATCACAACAACATATTTTTTAAATAAATTAAATTTTGAAACAATAAAGTAAAGACTTTGATTTGATAAATTAAAACATTCAAATTTTTACATGATATTTTTACATTATGAAACATGAAAATATATTTAAAACAATCATATTAATTATTTTGACATGTAATAATTTTCAAATAAAATAAGCATGTGAAATATAGTAAAAGAATTGATTAAAAAATTACAATTGAATATTTGTTAATTTGATTTTAGTTATTATAATATTTGCATATATATTAAACTTAAATTTACATGTTTGTTAAAATTAATTATAATATTAAACTTAAATTTACATGTTTGTTAAAATTGTTCTTGTTTCTGTTGTTCCCTGAGTTTCTTATATACTTTCCTCGAAGGAAAATTTTCTAGTTTCCTTTCTTATTTGAATCTCTAGAAGTGGTGGACAGAGCCCCAGCAGTCCTCACAGCTTGATTCCAAAGTGATCAGGTAAGCTTCAAGAACTGCTCCTACTTAAATTGTCTTAATTATATGCCTCTTTCTGTGTTGCCATTTTTCTTAACTACTTTAATTTTTAGTAGAGTCCGAGTGATTTTCTTTTACAACTCCAAAAGGGAAAAAAAGAATATTTGCTTATTAATTTCATTTTCTTCATTTTAATTTTAGCCAAAAAAAAGGAAAGAACGTTTTTGCCTTAAATTTCAATCTTGATTTTCAATCTAATATATATAAAGAAGAAGCTGCCAATCGATTTTCTTTTCATAATTTCTAGCTTCTTCTTCTTCTTTTTTTAAAAAAAGCCTTGCTCTTCTATTTTCCATTTCCCTGTAAACTAGAAAAAACCTGCTCTTCAGTTTCCTTTTCTTAATTTAATTTCTATTTTCCTAAGTACTTCTACCTCAAGAAAACATAACTCTTAACCACAGAACTTGCTTTAGGTGTAACTCTCTTGAAGTGGTAGAAACAGATTAGATGAGACAGCCCTTGCAATTGCAACACTGAATCCACAAACTTTACAAGACTGCCAATTCAGGTAATTATATACTTCAACAATATTAACTGCTTCAATGAATTGCACCTGCGCTTTACTACATTTATTTATGTTTAATAAAAACAAAGGAAGAACAAACTTCTAATATTCCATTGTACAAATAAATTTTGCCAGTATTTAGTTACTAATTTTTTTTGGCTTAAATGTAAAAAAGACCAGAAATTAAAATTTATATAATCATTTAAGTTTTTATTGTTTTATTGGAATCAATTAAGCTGTCATAACGCAAACAATTGTTAGCATTAAAAATTACTACGAATTTGTAAAGATTCATAAGACACTTATTTTATTTGTCTATATTTTGAAAATAACTTCTTTTTTTTTTTTATAAATAAATACCAGTATTTGTTAAAGAAGGAAAAGGAAAAACTTAAAATTTCAACTAAAAATCTATGTACTAAAGACTCCATTCTAGTGTTGTCAAACTATCAAAATTACATACATGATAATAGTCTGAATTCAAAATTTGAAAGATAAAAAATAATAATTTGTGTAAATGATATATTCATATAATTTTCAAATTAAAATTTTAGTATCTTTTGCTTATTTATTTATTTTTTTTAAATGTTAGCATTACCTTAATATTTTTTTCACTATCCAAGAGTAATCTCACAAAGATTATTCTCTTTTAAATTGAAAGACAAAATGATTGCCATACCATATTCAAGGAAAATCCATACTAAATTTTTATTCTAGATATTGCAGCAAATTTTGTGTATTTTTTTCTACAATGAGAAACAGATGAAAGCTTCTGCTCCTTCTTCAATATTTTCTGATCCTTTACTTCCTCTCTTTTGAGACCTATCTCTCCAATGAAATGAAAACCATTTGTCCAGGCCAATAAATCACTGTCTGGTAATCAAACTATTGCCTCAAAAAATGGAAGGTTTGATCATTGAACTCGATGAATATATTCAACTGTTGCGGTTCTTGAGAACAGTGGAAACCTTGTTTTGAGAAATAATTCAAACCCTTTAGTCATAGTAGCTCGAATCTTTGATCACCTAACAGATGCTTGGTTGTCTGGTGCCAAGCTTGATATTGACAAGATGACCAAGAGAAGGCAAATTATTGATTAAATACAAACAAAACTCAATTATTGAATAATACTATCTCTCTTTTTTGCTTTTAGTACAGCTTTTTTTTTTTATTTCTCTTTTCAGTCCATCACATCAAGCATCTACTAATATTTGGTATTTATACAAGAATAATACCGCTCCTATAACATTTTTTGTTTTTATTATTCTCCACCGTTCACCATCTTTGTAAACATTATTTGGTGCAAGCCACTTTAAAGTGCTCCACTAATTATTTCAGCTTTTTAACAGGGCCCCATGACAAATTGGACCTTTGTTGACTAGCCACAGTGGTTTTCGTAGAAAGCATAAGACCCATCATCACCACCGGTCTACTAACTCAAACAGCTCAAGCAGGATACTAAAATTTGTTCTCGTTTCTATTATTCCCCGGAGTTTCTTTATCTACTTTCCTCGAAGGAAAATTTTTTGGTTTCCTTTCTTATTTGGATCTCTAGAAGTGCTGGAAAGAGCCTCAGTAGTCCTCACAGCTTGATTCCAAAGTGATCAGGTAAGCTTCAAAAACAGCTCCTACTCTGAAGATCAGTCTAGCACAATAGTAACTATTCTGAATTAATCAACAATGTGGCAATTTTGATGCAGGGACATTAAAGCTAATACAATGTCTGACCTTGTTGGGCCAATCCTTGAAGTTATAAAGTTCATCGGCAGTCCAGCTATAAGATATCTTAATTACCACAGAAAATTCAACAAACATGTGGATGATTTCGAACAAGCTCAAGCAGAATTGCGAGCTAGTAGGGAAGATATTCAACAACAATTGCAAGACGAGCATTGTTCTGGTAAAAAGCGAAAGCGGGAAGTTGAAATTTGGCTTGAGAAAGTAGAGGAGGAGTTAGGTCGTGCTCAACGTGTTGAAGCCAAAGTCAAAAAAGGAAAATATCTCTTTCGATCATGTTTGGGGAAGCTTGCTGACGAAGCAACTCAAGCATTAAAGGATGTGAAAGCTGAAGGTCATTTTTCTGGGAGCTTGGTGGTTAATGATCCCTCTATCATAGCTGCTCAACTACCAACACAAGAATTAGCAGGTGAGACTAATGTAAAAGAAGAAATTTATAACTATTTGATGGGTGATGAAGTTAGAATGATTGGAGTGTGTGGGATGGGAGGGATAGGTAAAACAACCATTATGAAGCATGTCCATAACAGGTTGGTGGAAGAAACCAAGTTTAGCAAATTGATTTGGGTAACTGTATCCCAAGACTTCGATATTCGAAGGCTGCAAAACAACATTGCAAGTCAATTGAAGGACAAGTTGTCAGATGAGGAAGATACAATCACACGTGCAGCAAAGTTATCCGAAATGTTGAGGAAACAAGGGAGGTATGTGCTAATAATGGATGATGTATGGAGCAGCCTTTCTCTTGAGAATATCGGAATCCTTGAGCCAACACCAGATAATGGATGCAAATTAGTGTTAACAACACGTACAGAAGAGGTTGTTCGATCAATGGGCTGTAAGAAAGTCCAAGTGCCCTGTCTTTCTACAGATGAGGCGTGGCGACTATTTTTAAGCAAAGTTGGACGAGACATGTTGCCCAGTCCAACTTTAGAAACAATTATGAAAGATATTGTGGGAGAATGTGGTGGACTCCCTCTTGCAATCGTCACAGTAGCTGGTTGTATGAGGGGAATATCCGATCCTCTTCTCTGGGAAAATGCTTTGAATGAGCTGAGAGGTTGCATCATCAGCATCCAGGGTGTGAAAGAAAAAGTGTTTGGATGTTTAAAATTCAGCTATGATCATCTAAGACAAATAGACCGAGATTGTTTTCTGTGTTGTGCATTATATCCTGAAGATTATGAAATTAAAAAAGAGGAAATCATTGAATACTGGATGGAAGAAGGACTTATAGCTGAAATGGGAACTAGAAAAGCAATGGAAGGTTGTGGTCTTTCTATTTTGCAGAAGCTCGCAGAGAATTGTTTGCTAGAATGGGTTTGGGAAGGTTCACATATAAAGATGCATGATGTTGTTCGAGATATGGCATTGGATATCACAAAAAAAGGTTTTTTGGTAAAAGCTGGTAAGCAGTTGGAAGAGCTACCGAATGAGGAAGAATGGACAGAAGATTTGGAGAAGGTTTCTTTAATGTACACTTGCATATCATCAATTCCTCCAAATATACAATCCCCAAAATTTCAAAAGCTCACAACCTTGTTACTCTCAGCAAATTCATTGGAAGAAATTCCAGAATCTTTCTTTGCCTACATTCCTAATCTAAAGATTCTTGATCTTTCTAATAATCCTCTTGTGAATTTGCCGAACTCTATCTCTAATCTGGAGAATCTCAATGCATTGATGCTGCATGGTTGTTGCAGTTTAGAAGTTTTGCCATCTTTATCGAAGCTTCTAGCTTTGAAGAAATTGGACCTTGGAGGAACTTTAATCAAGGAAATCCCTCAAGGTTTGGAAATGTTGGTAAATCTTAGATATCTCAATCTTCGACATACTAAGTATTTGGAAGAGATCCCCAATGGATTATTGCCGAAATTGTGTCGTCTTCAGTATTTGGCAATATATCCAGCATCAACACCAGCGAAAGAGATAAGGGAGTTGAACAAGTTGGAAGTTTTTGAAGGTCAGTTTAGTAACTTGGGTGACTGGGACACGTATGCTCGTCAGAGAAAAAGGCTTCATAAATACTACATTTTGGTGAATTACTGCCATTTGGAAGCTTTTGAAGGTTGGTTTAGTAACTTGGGTGACTGGAACACGTATGCTAGTGAGAGAAAAAAGCTTCATATTTACTACTCTTTGGTGAATTACTGCCATTTTGAAGCAAGTAATTATAGTAAAATTGTTGCATTTGGGGGTTGTGATATTAATTCTGGAGAGAGAATTATACTTCCATATGATATTCAGCGATTAGAATTTTGGAGGTGCAAAGGTATGAGAAGTTTAAACGATATTTTTGAATTGAAAAATGCAACTGATTTGAAACAATGTAGAATTAGGCAATGTGAGGAGTTGGAGTCCATTTTTTCATCGGGGTGTCAACGTCAAACACTTGAGTCTCTAGATCTAAGTTCTTTAGAGAATTTGAAGGTTTTAGTCGAAGGGTCATCAGTAGGCACATTTTCCTCCCTCAAAAAAATCCGTCTATCCAGTTGTGGAAAAATAAAGAATTTGTTCTCAGCTAAGTTGGTTCTCCACAACTTGGAAGTTATCACTGTTGGATTTTGTGACAAAATGGAGGAAATAATAGTATCAGAGGAAGAGGGAATGGGTACCATCAAATATACACTTCCCAAATTAAGGGAATTGACATTGCAGGTCTTACCAGAATTGAAGAGCATTTGTAGTAAAAATGGAGTAATGGTTTGTGATTCTCTCGAAAGCATTGTTATATGGGATTGCCCAAAGCTAAAGCGGATTCCTCTGTATCTTCCCCTGCTTGACAACCTTGATGAGGAAAAACCATCTCCTCCTCCTCCTCCTCTCAAGGAAATCAGCGTGCATCCAAAAGAATGGTGGGAATCATTGGAGTGGGACCATCCCCATGCAAAGACTGTTCTTCTGCCCTTCCTCGAGTTCTTGGATCGCGACAGCTACAAATGGAAGACGCTATTTGGTTGATCAAGCGTGAGTCTTTTTTATTATTATTATTATTATAATACCATTGCTCCATTTCTAGTTTCATCTTTTTTTATTTCATTTTTGTCAGGTTTAAAAATAATAAAATACAAGTATTACGGGACTTATGTAATTTATCTATTTTGGTAGATACATACAATACAATGGGGAAGAAGGTTGCAGGCCCTATTGCTGAAGTTGAATCACAATCCAAACGTCTATTGCTTTCTGATTCTCATGTTCTTTTCTTCATAATGTAATCATAAACCTTGATTTAGTTGTTGTTTCTTTTTCCTTTTCTTAACTCTTTCATTCCATTTGTGTGTATAAGGGTTAATGTGTATGATAAATTTTTATGTTTATATTTGCCTTTGTATAAAATTTCCATGGTTTAATAAAACGATGGCTTTGAAAATTAGTGAAATTATGATATTTCTTATATTATATATAGAATTTATTTCAAGTAATATTAAAAAAGTAGTGTTGATCTTTTCCACTAACAGAGACGAATTCGTTGGTCTTGACAATTGTCTCCTTTTATGTAAACGTTGTTCAGTTTACTTGTATATCTCTATTATATTAAACTAACGTGTCAAAATTTCTTGAATCTTTTTTTTTTTCAACATCAAATTCTAGGATGCTCACAAAATTTTCGGTTCAGACTTATAACCCAACCTATATTCCTCATAGTTTATAGTTATTAAAATGTGTAGTGGTAAGTTTGCTACCAGTAAATTTTATTAAAAATATATTTTTATAAATATGATTTTAAATTAAAAATATTGAATTAATTTTGGATCCAATCCAATCAAATGCTAGTTATATATTTATATATTAGGGTCGGTATCAAAAATATATAGATGTAATAATTAATTATGAATAAAATTTAAGAAAATACTAATAAATAATTACAAGTTATTCTTCATAAAAAGAAAATGTAAAAAAATTTTGCAAGGGTTAGACATACTAACTTGTGGATAATCGCTCATATTTGAAATGAAAAAGAAGAAAAACATACAAAAATGATAAACACATCCCTCATCTCATTTAATGGTATCTTTGACATTCGATGATCTTTTTTATCTAACTTATTATCTTCAACCAAAATGATTGATGACTTGAATTTTCAAACTCAAATTTTAAAAATTAATAATTCTCTTTTCACATATAAAAATTTCTGTTAAAGATAAACTGAGTTTAATTTCGTTCTATTACTATTAAGGTATATAGGATTTATAATTTATTAGGTCTCACATATATAAAAAATGTTGATGAACATGTTAAAAAGTAATATGTATTAATAATGATAGTTATTGTATTAAAAAGAAATGGAAAAAGGATCTCGACATGTTCCGATTAGGCTCTCTTCACGCTAACTCAAAAATTAGTGTTACACGGATTTAATTTCATCCTATTACTTTTGAATACATTTTTAACTGTAATATCCAAACCTAAAAAGGCCCAATACATATTAAATTGAACATGTCGTTATTAGCTTATGAGTTTTATTAGAATAAAAAAAAAAGGAGAAGAAAATATAAGAAAATTTATCGATAGGTTTTTATTTTTCATAGATTTTTTGACAATAAAAGAAAACAAATTGGAAAATTGAGGAAGCCCTAGAGAAGGAGAAGAGAGGCTGGAATTTGAGATTTTATTCTCTCAATTGATGGATTATGGTAAGATTAGTCTTCTAATCTTTTTAATTTTGGTGTTTGTGAGAAATACTAAAGCATTAATTTGAGGTTTTTAATTTTTTTTTTAAATTTATTGACAACCTTCCAGTTATCTTTCGGGGGCATATTGGTATTAACTGAAAGCGTTCTTAAAGACCTTTATTATGGTTTTTGTAGCACCTAATTTGGTTTTGTATTTTAGATTTTATGAATTTTTTAATTTGTGAAAAACTAGATATTTGACAGTTTTTATGATTCAAATTTGGGTCATCGAAACTCCACATTCCGGTAACCTTTTTGATCTATTATTTGACGGTTTTGTAGTATGAAACATGATCTTCCTAGTGGTGTATTTGGTTTGGTCAAATGACTTATACACTAAGAGAAATTAAATCTCAAAGTTAACTTCATGAATTTAAAAATGCAAAAAAACTAAGTTATTTGTGATGATTTTCAAAATTTTTGCCTCTAAAAATTAAGTTTCTTAAAATAATTTTTATCAAAACAAAATTTTACATTATAGAAATTGTTGTTTTCTGTTGTCACTAGAAACCACAATACATTAGAGATTTTATGACTCAAAATAAATTAAATGATCACAAAATACTAAAATTTTAGAATTTATAATATTAGGTTTTTAATTATTTTAAAAATTAATTTTCTCAATAATAGCACTAAAATATTATAAACAATAAAAAGTTTGATTATTTGAATTTTATTTAATTTTTGGTTGAATAAATATTTTCTTGGATAAATTATCTTCGAAATGGTGTTACTTCAAAAATTTTTATTTCTTTAAGAAATATCTAGAAAACTAAATCATCATCCATATTAAGATTATTTTCATAAAAAATTTATTTTTATTATTGAATCTATGTTTTAAGGATACTTTGAATTGAGAAAAAGAATGATATATAAAATTTGCTATGTACGAATTATATTTTGAGAAATAATATGAATATTGAATTTGTATATGTTAAGTAATTTCAAAATATGTTTTGATTTTTGTCTCTTAATATGATTATATTCTGACCCTGTCAATAGAGGTAAATTATTGACCATATCAACTTGTATTTTGTGATAGAACCAATTTTACACCATGCTTTCAGTTGAAAATTGTGATTTTTGTTTACCATGCTACTTGTGATATACTTCTATCCTATTGCACTAAAGGAGAAACTATGATTTTTATTGTTTTGGTCAGTGCAACTATTAGATTACTTCTAATATACTTTCGTCCCATTGAATTAAAGGAAATATTGTGATATTTATTTTGTCCAATTTAACCATCTAGTTGCTTTTCATATATTTTTGTCCCATTACATTGAAAGGTAGTATATTACAAGAGACCAATAAAACTTATAATTTTATGATATTTTGTTTTGCTTTATTATTTGAGAATCTGGTTTTGATAATATGATTTGTATAAATATGTTTATGAATACAAAATTATCCTACAATATTTTTAAATTGTATAATTAATGTTTTGGTCTAAATGTTTTATAGCATGCTTAATCCAGTTTAGGATATGATTACTTGCTAAGTCTTTGTATTTATTCTTTTAATTTTTTTATTTTTCAGATTTTGATAATTATATTTTAAGAGAATTAGTTTTGACAAGAGCACTAATAGCAAGTTTAGCATCTATTTTTTGTTTGATATAACCTTTAAAGTGATTATTTTGATGTCAATTTAAAAGATTTGTTAGTAAGTAGAATATTTTGTATTATTTAATTAAGTTGTATCATATATAATTATGGAGACTTAAAATTTTGTAAATCATAAATTTTGAAGATTTTTAAAGACATTAATTTTGACTTAATATGGTATTTGTTTTTTTACATTATTGTGAAATTTATCTTAGACATATATCGCTATTACATATTAAATTTTTGAATTTGGAGCATGACATTAACCGTTATTCAATATATAAAATTCATACCTTATAATTAGGTTTCACATACATAAAAATTTTGGATGAACATGTTGAAAAGTAATTAAAGGATTCAACCCGTAAAATACGTACCAATAATATTGATGATTATATAATTAAAAAAAAATGAAAAAGGCATCCACATCTTTTCATTAATACAAATGTTAGCTGTCTCAGCTGACCCTCCATTTGGTGAATCAATCAAGCGCAAACTCCCAACAGTGTTTAAAACGCCTTGAAACAAAAACCAAAAAGTAACCAAATATGGAGTTTAGTGGAAGACTAGGTGCCTTGTCAATGGGCAAATTAAAGCAATTTTCTATTCAAAATCCATTCCCCATCAAGAACCATTCAACGCTCAAATACTTAATTTTTGTCAATTTTTTTGCTCACTGCTTTCATTATCAACAATGCAATCTAAATAGAAATTTCAAAGTAGAGTCCACACGCTTAATTAAATTAATACCCAAAATTCAGTTTTTTATTAGGATAATCGTTTGTATCATGTCCACACAATCTAAAGTCTATTTCACCTTCGAAAAAGTTGTTGAAAAGGTCTTGAAGCAAACTGCTTTTTGGAGTGGCAACAAAAGGATGACCCGTTAAATAAGCTTCAAAAACTACATGATTAGTACACTTAAAGCATAATTAGTCAAAAAACGTGTACTCTAACGTGGCTATGATGAAGGTCATAAGCAATTTTTTTTTTATATCATATTGATAATGGTTATATCAATAGATATTTATTGATTTTGAAAAAAATTGATAAATTTAAGTTCATGTATCATTTTATTTTCTAAATTAATCTATACGAATAAATTTGTATTAATATTTCAATACGTAGTATTCGTTGATGGATGCAAGATTTTGATTTTTTTTTTTTTTCACTTCTTTTATTCTTTTAATCAATTTATAATACTTTTTTGCTCATGTTTTTTTTTTTCAAAATTTCATCCCAAAAATAATACATGTTCATTTAATTAGGTTATTGAACAATAAATTATTACATTTTCCTAATATTCTTACATTTATTTCATTTATTTGAGGTTTTAAAATTTTAAATATTTGTAATTTTAAAAATTCATATTTGCATATAAACGTATAGATGTATGTCATATAAGTGTATTTGTATGAGTATAAAAACAAATTTAAAAAAAAAAAAGTTCCTGTCTTTTATGAAGTGGTAGTGTATAAAAGCAGGTATGATTACAATACTTCATTCAAGAACAAGCCATACTAAATTTCTACTCTAGATATTGCAGCCAATCTTTTTTCTCCATTATTGGGAAACAAAACAAAGCTTCTGCCCCTTCATTTTCTGATCCTTTACTTCCTCTCCTTTGAGACCCATCTCTCCATTGAAATGAAAACCATTTATCCAGGCCAATCTCTCTCTGGTAACCAAACTATCACCTCAAAAAATGGAAGATTTGAACTTGGTTTCTTTAAGCCAGGTAACTCCACAAAATACTATGTAGGCATCTGGTACAAGAAACTCCCTGTTCAGACTGTGGTCTGGGTGGCTAATAGAGATAAGCCAGTCCTTGATCCTTCCACTTCAAAACTTCAACTCTCTGAAAAGGGCAACCTTGTCCTCTACAACCAATCTGAAATCCCAGTTTGGTCAACCGATCAATCATCGTTGAACTCCATGAATTCCACTGTTGCATTACTTAAGAACAGTGGAAATCTTGTTTTGAGAAATAGTTCAAACCCTTCAGTAATATTATGGCAAAGCTTTGATCACCCTACTGATACTTGGTTGTCTGGTGCCAAGCTTGGAATAGATAAGATGACCAAGAGAAGGCAAGTCTACATTGCATGGAGCAATTCAACTGATCCTGCCCCTGGACCATTTTCCCTGGGGCTAGACCTCAATGGAACAAGCACGTATCATATTCTTCAGAATGGGAAAAGGCACTGGACTTGTGGGGTTTGGCTGGAAAGAATTTCCTCTTTTAGTAATGATACCGTAGATAACAAATATACCACTATGAACTATGTGTCAAATGAGAAAGAAAACTTCTACATTTACACAGTTACCAACTCTTCAATTCTTGTAAGATTTGTGATGGATATATCCGGGCAGCTGCAGCAACTCATATGGCAAGATGATTCTCAGGAATGGAAAACAATTTGGGCAAAACCAAAGGATCAATGTGAAATCTATGCATTCTGTGGATTATATGGAGCCTGCAATCAGTTCAGTTTGCCTACATGCAGATGCTTGCCTGGATTTGAACCTAAAATTCCGGGAGAATGGAGTACAGGTAACTACACACATGGTTGTCTTAGAAGAACTCCATTGCAGTGCGAAAATGGTGAGGAAGAAGGCTTCCAAGTGATTCATAACATTCGTATACCAGCAAATGAAGTGTTCTTGACAAATAATAAGGGCTTGGAAGATTGTAAATCGGCCTGCTTAAGAGACTGCTCTTGTACCGCATACACCTATGATGGTAACTGCTCCATATGGCGAGAAGATTTGTTGAACATCCAATACCTCTCATATGGTGACAATCTGGGAAGAGATCTACATCTTCGGCTTCCAACGACAGAGCTGGAAGCTTTGAGAGGTAAGACAAAGGGAAGAATTGAGTGGTTCATTATTAGTGCAGCTGCAGCAATTCTAATTTTGATTGCCATCTTGGGACTCCTTGTTCCAACATGCAGGAGGACAAATTTCTCTGACATTAAACCAACAGATGATGTTTTGATTCTCTTTAAGTTCAGTGATTTAAAGAATGCAACAAAGAATTTTTCGGAAAAGTTAGGTGAAGGAAGCTTTGGTTCTGTTTTTAAAGGAATACTTCCGAATTCATCTGCCATAGCTGTAAAGATTCTCAAATGCCAAGACCAAGAAGACAAGCAGTTCCGCACTGAAGTGAGCACCATTGGGACAATCCATCATGTTAATCTCGTTCGCCTTCTGGGGTTCTGCGTGACGGGCATGAAGAGGCTTCTAGTATATGATTACATGCCAAATGGTTCCTTGGACAGTCATCTGTTTTATCAGGATTCAAAGATCCTAGACTGGGAAAAAAGATATCATATTGCAGTGGGAGTGGCTCGAGGATTAGCCTATCTCCATGAGAAGTGCAGAGAATGTATCATACACTGTGATATCAAGCCTGAGAACATTCTGCTTGATGCTGACTATAATCCTTTGCTTTCAGACTTTGGCCTTGCAAAGCTGTTAGGCAGGGATATCAGCCGTGTGTTGACCACGATGAAAGGAACCAGAGGGTACCTTGCACCTGAAATGATTTCAGGTGAGCCAATCACTCCAAAATCTGATGTTTTCAGCTATGGGATGTTGCTTTTGGAGATTATATCAGGAAGAAGAAACTGGGAGATAAGAGATGATGGGACCGAAAATTACTTCCCGGCTCGTGCTGCAAACTGCATAAGCAATGGAGGAGATGTACTAAGTTTGATAGATTCCAAGTTGCAGGGAAATGCAAATTTAAAAGAAGTCATCAGAGCTTGTAAAGTAGCATGTTGGTGCATTCAAGATACAGAGCAAAATAGGCCATCCATGGGGAACGTTGTTCAGATCCTGGAGGGAGTGCAAGAGATCAGTTTGCCACCAATACCGTGGTTTATCCAAACCATCGCAAACTATTCAAGAGATGGGATTTCTAAACATTCTTTAACAAATGAGAAGAATGCAGTAGTTCAAACTGTTTAGCAGGTTAGATGAACCAGTTACACTATTAATGTGCAGTAGCTCAATATCTGAAGTTTAAATTACCAAATACCATCAGAATAGCTTTAGGCCTTAGTTTTCCATCGGTATGCAGCTTTCTTTGTATGATGTATCATTCTTGATAAGTAATTGCTAGGAAATGAAATAACTACACTAGTTAAATCCGAAACTTAATTAAATCATACAACTACCCTTAAGAGATAACATTCAATAAATTTGAGATTTAAATCTCACTACTTACAATCCCTTCTCATATCTCAAGCTACGACTTCCTTTATGAAAATAATAGCCTCTTCTTATCAACTCGTTTCAGCTCTTGGTTTGTAGTGGAACTTTCTTGATTCAATACCAAAAACAACTCAAGGTAGAACATTAAGGGTACAACCGAAGAAAAAGACAGACCAAAACAACTTAACAATCTTCTCATTGAACACTTGCATTCTATCTACTCAAATCTTCCGTGCCAGAAAATCAGTCAATCAAGTTCAGCTTTACCCCTTTTATTCATTTAGGATCTATCTCAACTATGGAAATGCTACAAGAACAACAATTCTCTATAAAGGCTTCTCATGAAATTCTAAAACTGATAGAAGTCAAAATTTTAAAAATACAACTAACCAAACCGTAAGTACACAGTTTTGGCCTCAGTAAGCATTCAGACTGAACTGCCAGCAACCTTATGAGTTTTTAGTCCATCCCTCATGGGATGCAAAGAACAAAATTAATTAAATTTTGCCACTATGGACCTAGCAACTCGCATATTGATCAACCAAAAAAGTTGTCCATAACTCTCAGTTCCATTCAAGTTTTCTTCAGACATGATAAAGATAATAGTAACCCAATGCTAGAAGTATCAGCACCACCAACGCACCAGGAGCAGCCCATATCCAGTAGTTGGTCGACTTCTTACGTTTCAGGATGGCTCTTGGAAGTGACTCAGGTCCTTTTGTTCGATTTCTGTACCTAATTGTATTCTCCTTTTGTACTTTATCCTTCACCGAAACAGGTGTAGGAGAAGGAACAGAAGAATCAGCATTAACATCACTCTTCTCTGATTCTGAAGCCTCTACCACAGCTTCAGTTGGTTCCTCAGGATTTGCACCAGTTGCAGATGATGCCGCCTTCTTCTTTGCTTTCTTTTCACGCTCCTGAAAAAAAAATCAAAAGAATTTCAGTTTCACCTTCAAACTAATTATCAAGAAGCAAAACACAATAAAGAACGAAATAATTTCCTTGAGCTTCTTTTCAGCTTCCTTTTGAGCTCTTATAGCTGCTTTGGCTGCTGCTTTCTCAGCCAACTTCTTCTTCCTTTCCACGGCTTGCTTTGCTTTTGCTATTTCCTCTTCTCTCTTTATTTCTTTCAGTTTTTCTTCATCAACTTCCTTGTCCATAGAAGTGTCCTTTTGCAACTTGCCTGATCCAGAGATCTCTTTCTCTGCCACAACACCATTCTCTAGAGACAATTTTGACTCCATTACTTTGGTCTCAGCATCTTGCTGGACCTTTTTGGGGAGTTTAGTATCTGGTTGGGGAGAGGATTTGGCTCCTTCCTTTGGTTGCCTTACAGTAAGTTTGGGAATCGTTTCAGCTTCATAAGGCACAGGTGCCTCTGGTGCAACCAGTGGTTTCTCATCAGGATTCCTTATCCGACCATCCCTACTCAATTGCCGACTGTCCAGGGATGGCAGAATTCTTTTCTCATAATCAGCCCTGAAGGCCTTCTTGCCACTCCAGATAGTCATAAACTTCTCAACCTAAGTTCCAAAAAAAAAAAGAAAAGATAAAGCTAAAAGCAATATAAAAGATAAGAGAGCAGCCAAATGCTAAAGCACATGAATACTCAGGATGTAACACTAATCGGCAGTCTCAACAAACCTCTGCAGTTGAAAGCTCCTCAAGAGCCTTAATGTCTTTCTTTGCAGCTAGCTCTTTCACTTTGTTTAAGAGTGAACGGCTCTGGTAAAAGTGAGCATTCTGAAAAAATGAAAAAAATAACAGTAATTAGAATGACTGCTTGGTATTAGCATGCTCAAGGAAGTTTGGAAGTTGACTGGAAAAAGTGAATGTATCTCTCCACGCATAAATGAATCTTTGGCTATGGTCATGTATGCATATGAAACAGAGATCTTGAGAATTGAAGCAAAGAAAAGACATACCCCCTCATCACGTTGTTTCCTCAGTTCCTGAATGGTTTCATAAGCTCTGTCCCTCTTCTGGGTCACAGCTGCCAACTCCTCCTGTAAAGAGTCAATTTTATTCTCAATTGCCTTCACTTTTTCTTTAATTTGATTTTTTTTGGACCAGATTGCTTGCTGATCCTTCCTTACTCCATCCAAATCAACACCCATAAGCTACAATAAAACAAATATAGCAAGTTTATTAGCGAAATGCGACAATAGTCTACATTAATACAGGGAAGGCGATAAAGGTGAAAAATACAAGTTTCTTACTTTAACCTGATCTTGAATGGCTTCTTTCTGACCCAATGAATCCAGAATCTTTGCTCTCATTCCAGCATTAGCGATAACTTTTTCCCTGGTTCCCTCTAGTTGTTTGATTTCTCGAAGGATTTGCTTCTCCTCAGACAATGGGATGCTTTCATGCTGAATGCGATATTGCAAGCTATGGATCTGCAATTCATCAATTTCGAAGAAGTGACTAAAAGACAGAAGCAAATAATTAACTGTAGCAGAAAACAAATGACAAATCTCAATGCAGCCAAAGTTTACAGTAGTATCATACAATATCATTGAGCTCTTCCTCAGATGAACATACACGAACACGACCACCAGCATTGTTATTATTGCGAAGCTTGCCTAAAGCCTGCTGCAGCGGTTCCATTTCCTTCCTTTTCTCATCTAAAATCGCCTTGAATTGCTCAAAATCAATATTCAGGGATTTCACTTGAGAAAGCAACTCTGCTCGATCTGACTGCATTGACATAAAGATAATTCTTTAAAAAGTAATTGAGATTAGGCCTAGCTGGAAGCATAATTATTTTGAACTTCCTTCACAATTTGGCTCAACATTTTGAAGCAAGCACAACAATAAGGAATCAATATACCAAAATAATAATCTACACCACAACAAAATAACAATAGCATATGTGTAATTGTTATTACATGCTCAAGGACTTGAGTTCCCGACGTTCACAAAAATGCATCCAGGTTTAATGCCTCCATTCATTATATTATTATAAGCACATGAAATATTGCACTTAAAACAAGTTTTAGAGACTCATCAAACGACTGACAACATATAAGCACAACCAATAATGCTATACATCTAATTAAAACTAATAGCTTTTCACTCACCCTCTTCACTTTCAATTCATCAGTAAGCTGAAACCTGGCTTTATTCCACTTTTGCACCTCTTTATCAGCCTGATCAATTTTGGCTTTTATCTTTGGATCATCATAAGGTCGATACCTGACAAAATAAAACGAATGGATCTGCTTAGGTGCAGGCCACTCGTTAATTGCATCCTTCGGAAGTCAGCAGTGGATGCATTATTCTCTTCTCCCTTGTCTGGTTCCTCACCATGGGAACCGACTTTAATAGGCTCATCATGAACGGTATCCTTGTCCAGTTTCCCATTTTCCTTCTCATGCAGAAATGATTTGTCTATTTCAGTTAATTTGTCAACAAATACTTGTGCCATGTCTGATCCCACAACCTCGACACCTATTAATCACAAAAATGAACCTAACAAAATGCGAAAACAAAGATTAAGATACCACATTATATAACCAAATATAAATATAAATATCATTTCATTTATGAAACAAAAATCAAGAAAAAAGATCAATCCAAACAATTTTATTTTGCTAGCATTTATCAATTGGATTAAAACAGTTAACAATCTGGAAAACCAGACACCTGATTGACATAAATAACACAACACATTAAACAAACAAAATTAAGAAAAAGTTTTACCAATAAAAGTTGAAATAGAACAAATATAAATCGATTTCTTTAGCTAGCTTTCTTAATCAGATCAAAAGAGAGAAAAAAAAAAAAAAAAACAGAAGAATTTCAAAGAAATTATTCAAATTATTCCAATGTCTCTTATACTCTGCATGGGATATTTACTACCAGTATCAAATTAAATAAATTGAACAAAAAAATACAAGATTGATTAACTATAATAAAAAAAAAGATAGAATCCAGATCGAAAATTAAGTAAAAAGAAGCACATCAAATTAATAAAAGCATGTCATAACACAGGATTAAGCCTTTATCTATCAAGAAAACTAACATGCAATACATTATGGAATAAGGATTAAAAAAAACCCCGAATTTTCAAAACATGAAATGAAAAAGTCAACAGATAAAATGAAAAACAAAAACCCAGAAAGAAAGACAGAAGAAATGAAAGAAAGATTATATGACCACCCTTTTAGAGAGATAAAGAGAGAAGAAGAACCTTTTACAGAAAAAGGGTCTAAAGTAAATTTAAGAATTTGGCAAAGGAAAGAGTGATGGGTCAGATCTCACTCTCTTTCTCTTCTGACTTCTTTTCAAGAGAGAGAGTGGGCAAGGAAGGAATGCGAGAAAGAGAGAGATTTTAGCTTTATAGCAATGCCTGTTTGAGGAAAGAGAAATAGAAGTAAAGAAAAAAGAACAGATTTTTCAGCTGAGAAAAAAGACAAAGGATTTGCCGATTGGGCTTTACTTTTTTTTTTTTTTTTTTCTCTTTCTACAAGCGGTGGAAAAGAACTCCGTTGGACCAATGATTTTCATGTCGCAGGTACAAAGATTTTTTGTCTGATTTGCTGTTAATCGAGTTCTGAACTTAAAATATCTGGTTTTTTATGCTCACAATGAAATTTTTTAATTAAATTATAATTTATTAATTAAATATTCATATAATTAATTATATTTGATTATAAATTTAATTAGTAGTGTAATTTTTTAAAAAATTTATATTAGGTGTCAAATTTTTTCCTTAAAAAAAGTCAAAGTAGTAGTATTTAACCATTTATCCACCATCA